TTCTACAAAGTCGTTCGCAAAGTCTTGTAATTCTTTCTTTATACGGGTGGTATCTGCCCTTTTCCTCATATAAATCTTGCGTCTCACTGGCTTTTTCTTTCTACATGCCAGGTTCACTTCAAAAAGAACCATATCGTGATCGCTTATTCCCGGGATTACCCTAACATTGTTAATGATATTGACATTATTTGTCAACACAAGATCGAGAATGTTATCATCTCTAGTAGGTTCCTTTACTAGTTGGGTAAGTCCATGTTCATCGATGATTTCAAGTAACTGTTCAGAATTGAAGGAGCAATTTGTCAGTTTAAGGTCGTTCCATTTAAGGTCCGGGGCGTTGAAATCTCCCGCCACGATTACATTGCTAGTATTTAATCTATCGCCTAATTTGGATAAAGATGAGTCAAATTCATGTAGACTGTTTATATCGGTCTTGTTTGGGCGGTAGATGGAAGCGAAGAATAGAGATTTTGATCTTTTATTTTGGATCTGACATTGGTCCAAATAATCTCACAGTCCGTATTCAAATCATCGCGATGAGTAACGATAATGTCTTTCTTCACTGCTTGGAAAACGCCACCATGGTTGTCAGATATGCGGTCTTTTCGTTAGATGTTATAATTATCTGGGAAGATTTCGCTGTTCTCAATATCTGGGTATAACCAGGACTCATTGCCGCAAATTATATCTGGTTTGTATTGATCGACGATTGCAGCAATATCGGCGAGTTTGTTCTTGATGCTTTGAGTATTTACGGCAAGGCAAGTCAATTTGCATTTAGTATGCTTCAGATTTTTCCTTAAGGTCTGCTCACATTCTTGACATTTTTGCGACTTCTTTGGGCCTGGGTTTGCTTCAATGTCTCCACAACGTATAAGAGAAGGACGAAAGCAGGCACAACAATTTATATAATATAAGCAAGGACGGCGAGATCGTTTGCTTCGCTTGGCGTAGCTAACGAGACAGGCTTTGTTGTTCTTGTGTTCCTCAGGGACGAAAGGAGCTTTGTTGTTTGTTTCTCTGGGAGTATCGTACACGCTCAAACATATGCAAATATCCCATGTGCTGGGGTTTTGATGATCCCAACTTGAAAGAAAGCACGGCAAGAAACATTCATTCGCAGAGCCATGGTAGAGACTTTCTTCCTTCAAGTAATCCAAGACGAAGCTCTGGGTGCTTACACACCTTTGTACATCGTCAATTTCCCTAGGAGGTCTTAATATGAGTAGAAAACAGGAAAATAAAACGGAGCGCAAGAGAACGTGACTGGTCAGCATAACGGTCAATGTCAATGTCAATGTCAATGTCAATATCAATGTCATTACAGAGAATTTTTTGGCGACAACTAATCGATAGCATAAGCTGTTGCTAGTCAACCTGAGGATTATTCCTGAGCAAGTAGTTTTGCCCTCTTCACAAGCAAAATTAAGAATAAATGTCCTCTTCATTGACCAAGATGATATTAATAACAAGATGATTTCGAGTGCAAGTTGGTGTAAATAACCATTTGTTAATTTTTCAAAAAATACCAATTGTACTCGCCCTACGGGCTAGTGCAATTATGTTTTCTTTGTAAACTTTACTTGTGGTTGTTAACACCAAATTGCACTCGAACTATATTTATTTCAACTTTTTGCGGAATATTTTGGCGATGTTTATGGCGGATCGTAATCGGATCAAGGTGATTACAGCACTGAATTTAAAAATGGCTGTCTCGCGTTTTGTCCGAGGAAGTGATGGACGTATCCGGCTTGAAAGCGGTAGTTCGTGTCCTCAAGCACGAGATTCGGCGTGGCGAATATTCGGTCGCCATATTGGACGGGTGGAAGATTTGGGACGAGTAACGCAACGAGGTCACTTTTCTTCCCTTTCTCCCTCCCCCTCGCTTTGTCACTCGTCCCAAATCTTCTTCTCTAAAGAGAATCCTAAACGTGTGCAAGATACCAATGCGGCCTCAACTTCTTGCTTTGAAACACAGCGGAGAAGTCGCCGAGAATTGGAAGCTTTGCAAGGAAAATACAACAACGAAGTCGTCATTTCTTAGCTAAATCGAGAGAACCCGATATACCAGCTGGCAATGTTGAAGCACACGATCAGAGATGATGCTTTGAAAGTTATCATTTTCGTCAGGCGGGTGAAGCGGATAGAGAAGCATAGAGCGCAGCCGACCGGTTAAACAGGCTTTTTTACAGTACACACTAACCAACTGTGCGATATCGCAGGATATTTGTTCTCTCGAGACCTCTTTAGCTATGCGGTCACGTGGTTTGAAATGGGGTAAACAGGAATTAATAATGGCTGCTGAAGTATGTGCTGGATACTAATTCTTGTGCAAAACATTCTTTCTTCACTTGCTGAAATGTTCATTTTCACGGATAACTCAGCACTGAAATGACAAATAATGGAAATTGGTTTCAATCGAAAATGAGCGAGTCTTTAACTGAGATTATAAACAATCTCAAGGTGGAAAAACAAACTTGTGAGCATACTTTCTTTCAAGATCGAAAAAGTGCATGAAACGGGCAGAAAAGGAAAGCGAATTTATTACAAGAAGAACGTTTTAGCGATTTTGTTAATCACGGTTAAAATGTAGCTATATTTTGTCCAAAATTGTAAAGTTTTTTGTTTCCCAATAATTGGTATGCTCTGTGGTAAGGGTGGCAAAGGGGAGTTCCAATCACACATCGCGCTGAATTTTTTTATTAATCACGAATCACGGAGACTGTTTTAAACCAATCACGCCTTACGTAAAAAGAAGTACGCTAAGCTAATACACCTAACTGTAAGATTTCAACCTTTCGGATGAATTATGAAAAACTATATTGCATCCAACGTTTTTCATCCTGGAACATTTCACTTGTCGCATTGCTTTTTGTTAGACAAAGACGACTTTCTCAGTTCTTGAAAGTAACTCGGGCTACGTATCGCAATATTAAATCGTACTTTACAAACAAATAAAAGAATCAGGATAGTTGTCACAAAATTCAAGCTTAGATATTTATCATACAAGTTGCTTCGTCGATTATCCTCTCCATCCCATTGCCTGTTGTTTGCTTACCTTCGAATTTCTGTTCACGAAGATTTTTGAGTCAGTACTCCTAGTTTTATCAATATTTTCGTTGTTTGAACTCTTATATGTAATAAAATGATTAAAATAAAATTTAATTGTAATAAAATGATATTCTGAACATCCTGTACTAATTTAAAACTCTACTGTATCATATACTCTGGTATTATCTAGGGTCTACCTCTAAATGACTTTTTAACAGGTCCCCCCAGCCTCCGTTTCTAAGTCTTGGAATTCAATGACTCCCAGGAGGCTCAATAGGAGCGCTTATGGTTAAATGAGCCTTGCCCCCTTCTTCTGGACTCTGATAAGAATAAAATAAAAAAGACATGTCAAAAAAAAGACGAACGTTTGGAGGACGCACAAGGCCGTATAAAGGTTAAGGACCCACTACGGTTGAAAGCAACAAAATTAAGCCCTTGATATTACTGATTTGGCCTGGAAATGTCTCATTTTCTCAGAATTGTAAATAAAGCGTTTTATAGACCACCACCATGCTCCTTTAGTCCTTTCCAAGAGATAATTTCTTTAAATATAGTAACCTGAACATTCAGCTATTCACAGCTTTAAATTAAGTCAATTTAATTGAATACCTAAAGCCCTTTAAGACAAAGCAAACGCTGGTGGATATCTTTTTCCCCATGTGGAACAAGTACCACGTTTGACAATACTTAAAAAGCAATCGTAGGGGCAACAATTACTTTCCAAACCCAAAACGAGAACAGCAAGAGCACACGAGCAGACACGAAAAGCTGTCACAAAAGGAGAAGTCATACTGCTGAAGGACAAAACTTGGAGGCTCAGGGGCTGCAAACAGGACCTTGCCATAAACGGCACCTGTTCATCACCTCACATATTAAAGACATAAATAGCCAAACTCAACGAAATACCTGCTTTTAGCCTCTTTGTTTGAGTTTGAAATCTTTTCGGGAGCATCGCACACTCATTTTTTGGCTTAAATTACAACTCAAACATTGAAGAACGCCTTGCACTGAGGCATATGAATAAATAAAGATATGGATCAATAAAACACAAATAAAAATGTTTTCTCCATTTGGCTATCAAAATATTCAAAACGAAAGTAAAACAATCCCTACATATTTTTAACTCCAGCGGGAAGCACACTCGACGCAAACTGTTAAAAAACCATACGGAATTCCTCATGCCAAGATAAGTCCTAACCTCTACAAGGTTAACAGTAGGGGTATCGAATGATCCCATTCAATTTACAAGTGCTCGCAAAATATGGCCTTTGCTCGAATTACTTGCAAAAATTACACGGGTGGGCGCTTTTTTGTTTTTTTTTTTGCAACTGCTCGCGCGCATGCTCGCATTCTCGTTAACATGTGCTCGCTTCCTTGAAATTTCGGTAATCCTGCTTTGTAATTACTTTTTATTCATATATAATCGATAAATCAGTTGTGATATGGTTAAAACAAAAAGGTTGAAATATCCTAACATCCGGCTTCAGTCTTTCTTCAACAGTTCAGCCTGTAACTGTTTTGGAGGCGCTGTATGTATTATGGGAAACGCACGAAGCTACATGACAAGCAGTTCGTTCAATGGTTTATTCTTTATCCTATTTCACTGTCGGACGCTTTCTGCTTGAAAGGGGCAAAGTTTCGCAGTTCAAATATGTGATCGTTCATCTATTCACTTGTTTCTTAGGTTATTAACAAGTACCCAAAAGATTTAATTTCTGTTAAAACTGATTTTGCTTTTTCCCCCAGTAGATTTGATTTCATTGCTTGAAGCTAGCCTTACAACTGTAACCAGTTTCCCGGGTATTTTACCCAACGACTTAAACCTTTTTATGCTTGAGCAAGAAAACGGGACTGTAACACGATCTATTTATCACGAAATTTTGATAGGAAGCTCAACATTACGGGAGGTGACATAATCTCCTGTGGAGACAACATTACTTGCGAACCTTTGTTGATCTAAATTCCCATTTATTTGAGCAAATTATCAGGGTTTGTAGACATGATGGATTCTCCAGTTTGCAATGGGAAATAAAATGGACGGAATGAAAATATTTTGAAACAGTGTACTCGGACCGCATTTTGTAGCGGTTTTTTCAACCTTGGAGGCTTCCTGGCCACTAGTAATAATAACTATTATAATCTGATGCCAAACGGTGGCTCAGGGAAATTCTTAAATGAAATGTTGTTTTAACCATTTTGATTGAAAAGTAAAGGGCCAGCCAAACGAAGAGACATGTCGAGAAACTTAATGTCTCCATGTCACGCGGAAAAACGAAATGTAAGAATTCTTCTCGAAAGGCACCCGCGAAGGTAGAAAGTAATCTAGAGAAACACTACGYTTACCAGTACTATTTGACCTTCAGAGCTACCACTAGAGCTTGTCAGATCTGTTCGGCTGTAACTGGCTAGATTCTAGAAGCCTCAAATTAAATAAAGCTTCATTGCGTTGAACCTTTTACAGTCGATCAGCGGGAAACCAGTTTGCCGATCATCGAAACCGAAGCCCGAAATGCTCGTTCGACCGAATGTCTCCTTATTTACATTTCATAAGACCTGGATAACCAAAACAAAAAACATACAATCCATTTTAGCGTCGGGTTAGGAAGAAATGGAAAACTTTAGATCGCGTGCTTTGAATCTAGTAGGTCGCCTTGAAGGCTTTTGAAGTTCTTGAGCGTCCACCCTGACTAACGTAATTTGGCACGTAATTTGCACGTAATTTGGCATCAAGCAGGGTACAGTTGGCTGTAAGATGCTGAGACTGGTTAAACCCCACTAGCTTTGCACCTATCGTTCTGTTTTGGAAGTGTTAGCCAGATTATTAGCTATTACTTGGCGCAAAACAACGTATCCTATTAATAAAAGAGAGATTCCGGCTAGCGGAAAATTTAAGAAGTACTCGAAGTGCTCGCTGCTCGCCATTTGTATTTTTCTTAAGTGCTCGCTGCTCGCCATCTGTATTTTCTGAAGTGCTCGCTGCTCGCAAGAAAAATTTGACAGCTGCTCGTGCTCGCAAAAGTAAACACAATCCTCGCATGCTCGCGCATGCCCGCAAGAATCATTCGATACCCCTACCGGTCACTGAAGACATAAAGTGGAAATCGTCTTTGCAGACCCAATTATTCTTCACTAATCAAGAGTTTGCACATGTCAGAAAGGGTCACGAGTTTTCAGACGACTTGTGCTTGAATCACTTTCGAGGTTTCCCCCGCCCACGACCTCCTTGTCTTGCTCCAGCATCGACATAGCCGGTGAAAACAGCATTGAGCGGTAGTCCCGGGCATGGATTGATTATAAGCTGCTTGCAGTTTTCCAAGAGAACATCTCGCCTTAAAGCATCGACGACTGACCTCAGATCTTTAAATTTTCTGTCCGCAATCAGAAGGTTCCCGTTTTGCAAGTCTCTCTAATTATGAAAACATTGCAAAACGTAAATTGTAACACAAGGAAAAGAATGAAAGTCTTGAGTCATAGAGAATTATCTTTGTTTCAAGGAGACATACGTTCACTTTTTAACACCACTAGCTAAGTTTAAACTCAGACCGCGATGCGAGGGTCCAAAGAGTAGCCCAACCTTTTGAAAGCTATCTTCAACTCAATTGAGATAACTAAATATTTTACCATGGACGCCGCCATTTTGAATGAAGCTTAGGAACCTGGCCAGCAATCGGTTTCGTAACAAAAACCTTTCTTTCTTTCCTCTTCTACTGAAGAACTGTTCAAACCTATTGAGTTACTGAAAATAAAATGGTTGCATTTTTGCGATAACCAGTTTGTGTATCATGCATTTGCTTAGGCAGCCAGGTTACAAAGTTGTTCTCAAATTTGCGGAGTCTTTGGCTCATTCGAAGACAACGTTCAAACGTTTGTTTCATTCTACTTGAATTTCATGTCACTGACCTCAATTTGAATTTGAACCACGCCATTATCCTTAGTTTTAACGGCCAGCACAAATACACCCTGGTGAGCTCTGGAAGAACTGATCCGGAGAAGATAATACCCTGGAGCCTGGTCAGTAAGGCGATCAGCTGATTCGGTTTCGTTCATTCGACCTGCAAACCAACTTGTAAGGATACTTGAACATTAAGTAACCGCTGACCGATTGGAGGTTATATCTACAATCATGAGGAATAACCAACAGAATATCTTAATTTGACCGATCATGAATATATAAAGAGTGAAGTTAACTGCAGGAACCAGGCCTAGGGCTCGACACTAACGGTAGCCAACTAGCCCGGCACAGACTAGTAGAAATTCAGTCTTGGCTAGTGGTTTACGACTTCCATTAGCCAGTTTAGCTTGTAAACAAACTGAAATTGTTGTAACATGAAAGTTGTCACTAGCTCATTGGCTAGTAAGTTGAAAAGTTAGTGTCGAGCCCTGAGAACGCCGGAGGCGTGGCAAAATCCTGATCCAGTTTATACTCAAAAGAAGTAATAATCCACTTCGATTATTACGCCAGTCACCCGATAGAAAATGCGTTGTAGCGGATGGCACGCCTCATCCTGGACATTGTACGTATGCTTATCTTGATTCGTTCATGTTAACCGCAAATATGAAGTTACAATAGTACATTGATCTCAGTTAAAAACGCAGTTAGTCAGTTGGTTTTCGGTTAGGCAAGTTACAAGTCAAGTTTTAGTAGGATAACTTGCCTCTATTTTGGAGTCGTCTTCGGTCAAGTACTAGCAAGCGGGATTGTTATGTAAGTTTTTTACCTTCTTCTCCAAACCTTTAACCTATTCGTCAGTTTCTCTAGTTTTCTCGAACAAAACGATTTTATATCGCTCTTCGTTTGTAAGTTTGCCACGTGTCTCGAGTTTACGTTTCGCCTTGTCTACCCTAGTTTTGGTATATTTATCACATTGTTTTGAAGCTTAGCGTGCTAGATAGCCTCGATTGGCTCTTCTAGACTTAGAGTACTGTCCATTTTGTGATTTACGCCAGTTCAGGCCTCATTATACATCGGGACACTTACAATGTACAAATTGTCTCGTCTTAATCCACTTTTGATTTCCCTGATATGGCTGTACTATGTTAGAATCGAATCCTTTTATTTACTTTATTTGTTCAAGTTTAGTTTTACCCAAATTTAGAATCTCATCGTAATGGAATGATTGGAATGTTATGTTTTAGTCTCGAATGCATAAGATTAGCTTAGTTTTTGCGCTTGTACTTGTTTCAGTTTACGATATGACCTCGAATCTTCGGTCGAATAAATTAATTTGATTCAAGTGTTTCTGTCCGTAAAATAATTATATCCCCGTCTTGGTGTCGCACCCTTAGCCAGTAAGTCGTTGTATCGCTTTGGGTTCGATCGCTACATGCGTTCTATTGCCTTATAAAAAAAACTATGGGTTTACAGGTGTAATAACCAATGGTTTCTTCACCATCAAGGCGCTTGTAGTGTCTCAGTTATTTTACAACTAATTCCTTTTAACGGAATTTTGAAAACTTGAAATACTGTTTTTGAGAAAGGAAATTGCACAGTCAACCTAAACAAATTGATTATGTGAAACATCGTGGCTGGTATTTCTACAAGTCACACAGCAAATGAAATTCCACTGAAATAGTTAATGATCATTAAATTTGGCCAAGGACGTGTGACCGTGAAGAGATTGGGACAAGGAAGAGTGACACCGCTTAAATCGAACAGCGCTAAGATAACTAATGTTTATGGTATCCTCTTCCCTTGACGAATCACACTTACCTCTCTTTTGTGCCATCTCGAACTGAAATTGAGTACCTCATCAAATCAGACATCTTAAAAATAAAAAAAAGAATAAGAGAAAAAAAAATCGTAAACAGGTCAAAAGGGTTCATTTACGACTTGTGACTTTATATGAAATGATTGAAACGTTAACTCTACTGGACAACTGTTTGGTTTGTATTACAACACATTTCCGTGACTAAAAAACGAGAAAGTCAGAGGCTAAAAACCTATATACTGCCAAATACTTTGGAAAAAAATAGAAAACATTCTTCTTAAATTCGGAAAAAATCGGAAACCAATGGCTTCCACGGAGGTTATCGTTCAAAGCCCCCCCCGCCCCCCTCCTCCCTTGCCGGCCAGTAACTCACTAGTGTGAAAGCCAACGAGAAACACAATCACGAGATTCAAAGGCTAAACAGACGGCTGCATACCGCTGGTAACTCGGGGGCTTTTATTGAAATCTATGGATATGGCATATAGTACTTGCAATCGACCATTGGTGGGTTAAAATGCTTCCATTACAAGTAAAGTCCCCGACATTTCCTTGCAATTTCACATTGAAATCTTGGTAACGTACTTGGTACGCAAAAAACTAAATACAGCGGCTGTCTCTCTGTCATCTAAACACAGACAATTATCTGAGGCAATTAAAGAGCACCTTTTGCAGGCAACCCTCAGGTCCTGGCTTGAAAGGGCCAAACAGCGCCACCAACTCTAAAAACTGATCAAGTCCGATCTTGTCAGTTGCTTGCACCATGAACAAAGAAACAGAGAATTAAACAAAGTGAGTGCACAAACCCTTGATAACAAACTTTATGCAGGTACATGTAACTTGAATAATACCATAGAGACACGGTTAAAATTTTGACCTGAAATTATGGGTATGCCACTCTAGCGAGCTTACGTTATGTAATCTGAGTCACCCCGAACAGAAACTGAACCTGAGACTGGTGTCGCGACAACAGTGGTGCAAGATATTCTTTTGTCTCAAAATGGCTTCTCGGTGTCAGTGAAAACCGGAGAAGCTACGGTTGAGATGAGATCGTCATTCTGTTTAAGATGACGGTTGCAAAGACGATAACACGAAAGACAATTATAATACAAATGAATAAAGGCTGATAGTTTCGAAAGAAACTGTTTGGGGCTGCGTCGGTGGGAGTAACGAAATAATTTGGATATATCAACAAAGTTGAAATGGTAAATTGGCCACCGTAACGATTACAAAAGCTGACGTTTCGAGCGTTGGCCCTTCGACGCTCCGACGAAGGGCTAACGCTCGAAACGTCAGCTTTTGTAATCGTTACGGTGGCCAATTTACCATTTCAACTTTGTTGATATATCCAAATTATTTCGACAATTATAATAGATTGATAGGGAAAACGATAATGATAACGATATTGACTATGATAACGATAACGATTGTAATAATGTTAATTTTAACGACAACGAAAATGACAATGATAGTGATAATGATAACGATAACAATAATGATCATGACGATAATGATAAGGGTGACGATAATGATAACAAAAATGATAACGGTAATGATAATGATAACGATGATAATGATAATAACACTGTACAGTCCAAACCTAACACAGGGGCCCGCGCTCTCCGTGTGAGGATAATATTTTAAAGTTTTGTAAGGGACTTTAGGCTACGCTCTGTAACCCCATGAATGATAAAGCAAAAATATATGATAAACTCTAATCTTCAGGTAGTGTTTTTTTTTTTCTCTTTTTACATTAATTTGTTCTCCGGTAATGATCTCAAGCCATTTCGTCAAGATTTAGCTGAGATCTCATTCCACTACTGACTGTACTTCCTGGTCATATTATCCTCTCAAGGAGAGCTTGTGCCTCTGTGCATCTCAATGATCGCAACCGGATTCGCTCTGACGAAGGGCTAACGCTCGAAATGTCAGCTTTTTAACTCTTTACGGTGGCCAATTTACAATTTCAACTTAGTTGATATGACCAAATTACCATGAAATAATAACACCCTATCATTTTAGGCACTTGTTTATCAGTGTTACCAAATTCAATGTTGAGCAGTTTGCTGAGAAATTTCTGCACATTTCCCTGCTGCATTTCTATTGGACAAGCGTTCTTGGCAGCTTGATAAAATTCCTTCCAGCTCTAGAAAAGTGAAACACGAAAGTAACGGCAAAATCAACAACAGTTCACATATTAGCCTCTAACTAAGATATGACGCCTTTTACGCATTTGCTGATGCAAGCCTTTTATACAATGCATTTAATAACAGTCACTCCAGTCAGCGGTTTGTCTATTGAAAGTGTTCTAATCCCCCTCTGGCAGAGAACAACTTAGAAGTTTGTTTATCTGGCAGCTGTTGTTGTAAACATGGTTCGTCAACATGGACCTGGCTAAAGGGACCTGAGTCTTGTATAGCTCAGTGTTGGAGCATCTATAGTACTAATTGGAAGATCGTGGGTTCGACTTCTATTGGGGGCACTCCGAGTTCTTTTTTTCTCTGATTATGCCTGCGTCACTCACCGACTAACATCTTCTTTGTAAGTGTTACCATCCCATATGGGATACCCCCAAAAAACAGACACCTGCATCTAGACCTACTCCAAAAGTCGTTTGCAAATTTTTTTTCTTGTTCTCGTATGGCAAGAAAACATTAAAAAAAAAAAGAGAAAATGGCAGGAGGAATCTCTTAAAATGCATTATAATGTACATCATTACCTTTCGCTCGTAGGCCCCAGGAATCTGAAGCCAAAACTTTTTAGATTCATCTGACAAAAAATCTTCCTCTGGTGACGAGTAAAAAACAAGTTATTTCAATATTAACATGTTGACACTAGTCAGATTGTTCATGCTAACATTTTTCATACATCACCATCAAATTCTCGCATCTCTTTACTACAGCTTTCTTCAGGCTTTTTTTTTTAATATCGCAGGACCACAATTGGAATTGCTGAACTACTTAGTATTAATACATGACATGGTAATTACAGGGAGAAGTTCATAGCATTCAGTTACAATAGGGACCTTAAGCAGTCAGGAAGGCAACGCCAAGGAAGACTTCGATTAAAAAATGAATTTCTACTCTTAGTTAGAATTTTAAAAATAGCTGCATGAGCTTACTGTCTCATACGACGCCACAGCTCAACTTTAGCATGACGTATAAAAGCAGCGTTGAGTTCCAAATGGAAATTAAAATAATTTGCCGTCGCGGTTTCGGTTGGCAGACGACGCAAATTTTGGCGATTTCACGTTGTTGTTTTGCATAGGACGGCTAAGAAATGTACAAAGTTTCAAAATGCACGTGCTGAGCTATTGTTCTGCCAATTGGATCTATTGTTTTTCCACGTCCTCGTTGCCGTCGCCGTCGTGTTTGGTTAAGGTCCCTTATTATAGCTTTATCTAATGGGAGAAACTGAAAGTGAAAGGTTGACGGAATGCTAAGAATAAGATAATAAAAGGCTGCAGCTTGGTCAAAGAGGGGCTCTCTGATCTGAAAAGATAACATAAGATTCAAAAGACTTGGGAGAGGGTTTCACGTCATGATTTACAGACTATGAGTTCTTGGATTTTTTTACGATAAGAATAACTTGTCCGGATAATTGGCAAAACTATTCCCTCATCGTGATTTAATAAAAAAATTCCTTCTGTCAACAAAGTCCCAAGGAAGTGTATGACAGTATGTGATGGGAGAAGTGCTTGATAAATCACATCCTTGGAATTATAAGACAATAATATTGTGATACCATGCAAATGTCGCTTAATAGCAACATTTTATCTTATTGATAAGATCGAGATGGTTCAACGTGGAGCGGCCAGATTTGTGTTCAATGATTATTCCCGTTCTAGTCATGTTTCGGAGATGATCAACACACTGGGTTGGGACTCTCTAGAGCATCGCAGATTACTCAATCAGATGTGCATGTTTTATATAAAATCTACAAAGGTTTTGTTGGCATCTCTTTACCAGCGGAGATCTCCTCACCCATAACAACAGCCTCACGTCTTCCTAACTACACACCATTCGTTCAACTTCGCACGTTGAACGATACATTTAAATTCTCCTTTTACCCCAGGACAATTAGGAACTGGAACAATTTAACATTGCCTGTGATTCCTGACTCATTAAATGTTTTTAAAGCTTTTATTTCAGAAATGTAGAAACGATTAATGTGTATATGCGAATTTTAATTTTTAATTTATAACGTTTGTATTTATTGTTTTCTTTCCGAATATTTAATTATTTATTTATTTATTCATTTATTTAAACTTCTAGTATAGTATTTCTACTGTTTTAGAAGAATACTGATTATAAAGATTAAAGATTGAAGATAGCTCAACTATCAATGTCACTCACCCTTTTCTTCTGACTCCTGCGCCTTTGGCCCCCCTATTGATATACTACAGTGTGAAACAAAGGAACACAAATTACTCAGTCTGTACTTATGATGGAGTGGAAGGGCTGGATGGGAAAATATTTGGCTCAAGGTCATGACATACCAAATGCCAGCAGAAAGGTCCGTGCATCATGAACGAGAGCCTAACACTGTCAATAAAGTCATTTTATGATATGACCACTGACTAAGTTTTGAAAAGTTTGTTTTAACTTAAATAGAATGCAATAGACTAGCAAGTGTGGAAACACCACTAAGAAGATTCTTCAAAACAAAACTTTTCCTTTATTTTTTGAGTCAGAACGAGAACCTCACAATTAATCCAAAAATATGACTTATTTTTTAATTCTTGTTGACTGCTGTCACTTGTTTTTTGCAATATAACAGCAAACAATGTCACTATAGAAGTGCACTGGGACCAGATAGCTTTTTCCGCACCTGCTCTGAGGTCACCCAGTCTGGCCCTACACATCTGCTTTCACTATGGTTTTCTATGCCGGGGATTGGGCAAGTAGGCCAGAGGAGTCATGTAAAAATATACAGTATACAAGAACACTTGCTAGTACACTTTTTTATCTTACAGCTTTACTGTAATCACTAACCCCATAATCTAAAGTCACCTCCCTGACTGGCCAACACTTGATCAAGAACAACCACACTCAACAACAGGCATAGGCTAGGTCACTACTTTTTCCAATAAGCATGGAATTGGAAATAATTTTTTCAACTGAAATAACAGTTTGATCGTGTGGTCTGATGATGCAAGTGAGAGAACTGGTACATGTGGTCCTGCCAGGAACTGTTGTCAAAAATTGTGAATGATATATCTAGACGACTGGGACCTCCTCCAGACTTCATAACAAAATTGTTATTTGTTTTTCAACTGTAGTTTTAGTCAAGAGCACAGTCAACTGATTTCAGTGATCTGATTTCAGGAACCAATTGGGGGATGAATTCCAAATGACTTTGAAAGCCAATGATGAGAAAAGTTCCTCTTTATTATTTAGTGACTACAGGTCACTCTGATCAGTCATTTTTACATTAATTTTAAGCAATTGTCTTACCTTTCACATCCAGAGTCTTGCAATGGCCACGAAAGACCAGAACTGGTGCTCCTGCCAAAATCACTCTCTTGCGTGGGAGAAGATCCTAAATGCTGTAAGGGGATAGTGTCGGTGTTTCTCTCATTACAAAATTTGACCAAGTCATCTAGCACATCCCTTCTATTAACATCAACAAGAATTTCCAACAGCTGTCCACAGGTTGTCTCAGTGCACTGCCTGAGAAGATCAATGGTTGGCTGGGACCTGTGCTCCAGTTGGGGTATGATATTTGAGAACCCAAGTCGAGAAGCTACAATTCGCCAGTCATCACCATTCTCCTTAAGATCATCAAGAGACCTTGAAAACTCTCTTTGAACTTCAAAATTAAAATCCTTTACACGGGATGGAAGCTGTGAAAGCTGCATTCATTAAAAAAAATGACTGCTAGTTATATATAAGATATAATAAGGTTGGCAGTAAACAATAACTGTTCAGATGAAATTGCTAAAAGTATACAGTTTGCAATGTCATCAATAAATGAATGAAAGGGGCTACATTGTACATTCCACCCTGCCCACGTGTGCTATGAATAAAGGAACAGGTGAGAAGGAGAGGCCATTGGTAACCATTACCATCAAATTTCATACAGCCTAATCAATGCTGACCACAAGGTCTAAAATAAATCTCAATGAAGAACATATTGACAAAAAAAAATTTGGAAGGAAACCTTTCTCCTTTTTAACAGCTGGTAACAGTATTAGGTAATTCAAGAATTCAAGAATTCAAGAATCTTTGAGACAGCTTGTGGTTTCTTTGTTTGATATTGACGGCAAGTTGCTGCAAATTTGGGTTTTGCTGCTGTCTCATTTTTTTCAGTTTATAGCTGTAGCATTGTTCCTACCATTGTTGACTTTTTATTGTTGGTTTCATAAATCATTGCTGCCATCTCATCTTTTTCCATTTTTAGCTGTAGCATTATTTCTACCATTCTCCACCTTTACTATTGGCAAAACATCACTTTAAAATGTTACATAATGTTGTACATGATGTAGGTTTTGTTAAAATACACAATCTTGATGTATTTAACTTAATTCTTCAAAGACATAGCCTGTTTAACCTTTGAGTTGCTTCAGGGATACAATTTCTTGATGGTAACCAACTCCTAAGGTTGTGTCAAGTAAAAGACTTGAACTTTTATGCTCTAGCATTTTGCATGTAGTTTTTGGATCATTGACCATTGTCACCAATAAAGCTGTCCCTCCCTGGAAAACTGCTATGTTTGTCTATGCTGATTTGCCCATAATACACGTGAGAGATACTGTAGCTTCTATTCTAACTTGTCTCTTGTTTTCAACACAAATGCTGGACTATAAAAAAAACTCTCAGTCCACATGAGGAATTCTGAATCTCTATGAGGAATCGAACCGGCACAAATCTTCTCTCCACCCTCCAATGCTCTACCACTGACCTCCACTCTAATGTTCTACCACTGAGTGGTACAACACTTCATTACAATAGGCCATTTTACAGTTGTGTACTTAGTTTCCAAGCCTTTGATTCAGAGTGAGGCTAAATTAAAGGTGACCTTGTTGTGATAGAGACCTGTATCTAGTTAGCATGATAACAAAGTGAAATTTGAAAGGCAACAAGGTTTGTATCAGAACAAGGTCAGCCCTAGCCTCACTCCAGTCCAAAGGCTTGGCAACCAAGCACACAACTGTAAAATGGACTATTAGGACAATCCTAAGGAATACAACACTCACCAAAAATTCTACTTTAACCCTGGTGTCATTTCTGCCAGAAGCCTCCCTTTGTGATGATACCTGGGAATAGGATGAACTTCCACTCCAGCTATAACATTTGCATAATCAGAAACAAAACAGTCAAACCCTCATCATAATCAACTAAATCTATAATATTCTTTAAAAATACATACCTTAATATGAGATTTAAGTGTCACACCATAGTTAATTGATCATATTTAAATGAGAAAGAAATTATTATAAATAGAATAAGAAAGATGGTAAGCTTTGAGCTCCTTAAATAGAGAAAGATGTTTTTGTCTTGTCACAAGCATGGGACAAAGAAAAAATTTTGAGTCACCATTAGGAATCGCACCTCAGACCAGGTTTTGCACTCCGGTACTCTACTACTGAGCCACAGAGACTCTACATGGTGGCCAAGGCTCATTATGAAGTTCCTACAAACTGCTTGGATTGGCCAAGTCAATAGTGTCATGTTTTGTAAAAAGAATAAGAAAAGGTAAAGAAATTGAGAAAGACTCAGAATTTTTCCTTGTCCCACGCTCATGAAAAGATGAAAAACATCTTTCTGTGAGGGACCTAACATTAATTACAGGGAGAGGGGGCTGGTGGAGATGTGGGGGGGACCAAATAAAATTCTGCAATATCAATACCAGCAAAATTGACTTTTTATGTTTTAATTGGAGACTCTGATAAACAAAAGACTCAATCTCAGTCAAAACAAATGGTTGACAATTGAAAGTCCTTAAACACGAAGGCGCGCCATAAAAGGAGCCTTAGGTCCCACTGGACCATTAATTTTGTCAATCAATTGTTGTGTGATGTAGAACTCTTAGAGTCAAGTCAGCTTGAGCTACAGCTACTCCAAAGCAGTGAACAGCAGGC